AGCCATACGCCACCACAACACCACAGCACCAAGAAACGCGGATGGGGGGGAAGACAACTGCCAGCCCCGCCAAGAAGAGAATCTAAACGGTCGCCATTGAATCCACCCACTCCACGGACAGCGCCCGTGCGCTCCCCGGATGGTGTCCCCGCACCCTCCGGACAGCGTCCGTGCACACCCGCACACCGTCCGCGCGCTTCCTGGACGGCGTCCGCGCACACCCACACACCGTCCGCGTGCTCCCCGTACGGCGTCCGCGCGCCCTGCGGACGATGGGAAGTGTCCGCGCTGAAAGTGTCCGAGCGCATGGGAAAAGCGTCCGATGCGTCCGCGCGATGCGCGGACGAAAAAAATGTCCGCGTTTTTGCCGGATTCCGCGCCCTCGGACGCTCCGGACGCGCTCGGACGCTTTTGTCTCAGCGCTCGGACAATTCCGCGTAATGCGCGGACGCTCCGGACGCTTTTCTTCTTGCCTCGGACACGGCCAATAGTGCGCTCGGACGCGCTCGGACGTGCTCGGACGATTCCGATGCGCTCGGAAACTGCGCGGACAACCCCCTTTTCCCGTAGTGCTGGGGTGTTGTGTCTCTCAGCCAGCCGCAATATGCCAAGCCTGTGTCCCGCATTTAGTGTTGGGACGGAATGGACCCATTTTGAATTGGACCAATGTCCAATTCAAAACTCCCACCTGCACCACATTTCCCAATGCCAACTCCTGAAATTTGCCTAACGCGACCCATCGTCGTATTGTTTACCCCCATTTACTTCTCATACAACATGGGGTTCCCCAGGCCATTTCCTGCAATGCATAACGCGTGTCCATTCATAGACCCGTTGTCCACCTCAATTGCAAGTGTAACGATGGCCATTGCGAGGATTCACGAAACATATCCATTACTTATGCAAGTGCTCCAGTGGCGTACTCATGCCGTCCCACGCAGAGGGCCATCGGCAATGGTGTGCATTTGGGCAACTTGAGCAACATCATGCACAAAACGCCTGCTTGAATGCTCGGCACTGTGCGAATGTTTGACTTCTCCCCCCCCCGCCCCCCTCCAAAAAAAGAAATAGAAAAGAAGGCCACGCACACTCGCTCGTTCACAAATTGTCGCCATTACAGGAGGTGGTTCAACCACACGGCAGCGCCAACATCCAAGGGGCCGCTCAACAGCGCTGCCACCCTCGGGGCCTTCCCAAACAATCCCAGCCTTGAACAGTCACGCCGCCACACCTGAAATAGTGGCGCAAAGCACTTCCCACCGCCGCAACTGCGCCGCCTACAAGGCACCGCCTTCCGCAGCGTCTTTACATCAACGAAGTTCCCTCCGGCCAAAAGAATGACGCCCTGGCTCCCACTCAAATGGGACCGCAACTGCCCAGTCCAAAATTTTCCGTTCTGCCGCGCCTTCCTCAACAGGACGCATCGCTGCACCACCATCAGACCCCCTTAGTACTTCGCCACAGCCCCTCAAAGACGCACTGGTCCCACAACGGGGAGCAATGCATCGGCGGGCTTCCCCGCAGCCCGGAACCGCCTGGAGCCGTTCTTTCGCACTCCCTCAATGTGCTCCGGGTCCTCACTTTTGCCTCCCTTGGGGCGTGTTCTGCTCCTCGCTGATGACTTTTGACAGGGCGCCAATCTTGGGCGATATTCTTCCAAGGTCGTCCACGCATATGATCTGGAGGCAGCAGGGAGGGGTGGCTCAAGCTCAGGCGTGAACGAGGCAAGCTGGGCGTCGACCGCATCAGCATCTGCATTGAAATTTGAGTTGATGGCGGAATGCTTGTGGCGGCAACAGCAACACCTAGGCCCCAAGGTGCTTCTAAAATCGTTGAACGGAAGTCAGGGCACTGAGCCTTCGCTGTCGCTGATAAAGGATAGCAGATCGGGGTCTGAAGAGGCTAATCGGCCAGAAAGGCTACAATGAAATTAGGCCGGCTTTTGGTTCACCCCAAAAACAATCTTTATAGTTTCCGTTGAACTGCCAACACGAGGCAAACAATATGCAGAGGCAGCTGTGCAGACTGCAGTTTTTCAAGGTATCAGAGCGCAGTGGCCATTCATTGGCATCTTCCAGTGTCATGCAAAGGCAATTGCCATTGTTTGATTGTACCAAAGCAGCTGAGAGAGCCTACCCTGAGGGCAAAATCTTCATGGATCCTCTGAATGACGACCGCATGGTCTCCTGCCTTAACGAGGCCCTTCTCTGCTGCCATGCCCACCGCCTCAGCCATGGCGGATTCCATGCTAGAGCGAGGTGCGGCAAGCACAGGCATGAGGCCTCTCGTCACAAGGCACTGGCGGGCAGCCATCGGCCCCTGCAGTTGTCACACAAAGGTGTGAGCTGGAATACAACATGGTCCCCAAAATCACTCCTCTGCTATATCCCTCTGCAAACATATGCATCCCATTTACAAAGAGTTGTGTTATCTGCAGGCATGGCATGCATCCAAAATGGACACCCCACTGTCCATGCACTGGCTAAGCGATGCTTGGCAATTTGGACAATGCTAGTGTTTCAGCCCGTGTTTCGGATTGTGTCTTGGACAGAATTCCAAACCAGCCCCTTAAAGATGGATGTGCGGTAGAAGCCATGACTTTTAGTATGCCACCAAACGGCATAAGACTATCTCCAAACGAAACAGTAGAGGCCATTCTCAGGGATTGTGCAGCACTCAAATGCTTGCACCAGCATGATGTGACACCCATTTCTGTCATCAGTGGATATCTCAGCATTCGCCAGCATCCAAATACAATGGATCCAATACAGTGCATCCAAATATACTGTCCACATTATTTTACTACGGCCATTAACGCAGCTCAGCCCAGCTGATTGGGATCGCATGCGATGCAGATGGAACTGCATTGACGCTGGCATGAATCCTTGATCAGCAGTGGGTGGCCATCGTACGGCACATTTGCGTTTGGGCTACAAAGACAACAAGGAAATTGGTAAATGGTATCCATGCAAAGATTTCTAACAGGTGCTTATGGTGCACTCCCACAGCATCGGCGTTACACCTCGCCAGTAGACCATTTGGTGCTTGGCATCCATTTTGCCCGGAAGGATGTACACCATGCACTGAAGTGGACCCCAAATCGTGCAATCCCAACTGAACTTTCCCTGCTTGTGGGATTGTGATAATGAACAGAGAAGCACAGGGCCAGTGTGGGTACCTCAAGCTTCCAGCCCAGCTTGTTCGAAACTAGGCGAGGCACAAATAGGGACAGGATAGGCATGGACGGGCGGTACTTGGCCACCATCTGTGCCGTCTTCCCTGAGTGTGTGTAGACCACCAGCAGACTGGCGTTGATCGAGTCTGCAGTGCGAACAGCAGAAGAGGCGATGGACTCCAGCTTCGACAAATAAGGATCGCTCAAGGAGCCTGGGGGAAATGGGCAGCTTTCAGTTCGTTTGACCGCAGTTTCCAAATGAAGATAAAGCACAGTGCATTTGCCTGTGGAGCAAATATAGGCACAATGCGATCCCATTGCAGGTAGTGATATCCTGCATTATGCATCCAAAGCACTACTTAAAACATTGCAAAATGCGCAGAAGTAGGCGACGATGTGCACATCCCCAGGTACATCATGACAAACCCACCAACTGCTGCCAGAACGATTGTGAAGAACGTGATCCTTGTCAATGGTTAGGTGTGTGGATGGGAGGAAGCAGCATGCTGAATACAGAAAGTGAAGAATCAACAGAGTCGAGCAATGTAATGCAATAACAATGCAATCCAAAGAAAGCATCCCATCAATCATAAAATAATAGCCTCTTGCAATAGCCAGTGCACCACTGTCTCACCTGTTGCAACAAGGTTCACTTCGCTTGAAGATGCGCTGATTGTCTCAGGCATCATGGCTGCACTCATGGATGTCATAGCACTCAGGGCCCTATTCAAATCGGCGTACGACGCAGATGTCGACGAAGACGCAGCAGACGAGCCCTTGCCCAGGTAGCTGGTCTTCTCCTGTGCAGAAGCTGCCTCCTGTGCAGGACATTGGCAATTCACTACCAGCTCCGCACTTCTGCATCACTTCCTTGTTGCTCCAGCAACATCATCATATCGACATAGGTGTATTTTAACCTTACTTGCCTTGCCTTTCCTTCCCTTCTTTTCCCTTCGCCCTATATTGTCTTCATTACAGGTGGGTGGCATGCAGAGCAATTATCGGATGAGAGAAAAATGCTCTGGACGTGAGAATGTACATCACTGGCTGCAAGGTGCAAGCAACCTGCTTCACCTTGTGTGAAGGCAAACGTACAAGGAATCATCTCAATTATGCTTCTCAACAACAACTCCACTGTCCTGTGGGACAGCTCTGGAGACAAATCTCAAAGCTGCACACCTGCCCACAGTGGCAAGGCAGCCCCAGGACTACACAACTAACTGATTTTAGACCCATTCAAGGTTGGAACACATATGCTTCTTCTTTCCCCCACTAAATATGATCGAACTGAAAGACAAAATTAATAAAAAATGGCTTCGAACGTACACAAAGAATTCAGAATAATAAATACTGGGTACCAAAAACCTTAAATATCAATTTTCAAGAAGAGGAAGAAGCGAACCCTGGCCCCTCTGAGCGTTGGTCGAAAGGAAACTTCTTGTAATTTTTGACCCAAAAAATTCGAGGTTTACTAGGTAACAGACCCACGCTATAAAGTGCTGCCATATCCTCAATACTTAATGGACTGACTTGATTTTCTGACCACATACTCCAGACTCACAAACACAACTTTAGACGAAATTTGATTAGGAAAGAAGTCTCGTTGATGGGGCAACAATGTGCCAAAAACTAGAGGACATTTAATATGGGACAGAGGAAGTTCATACACATTATTTGTGTGTACGTTTATATTTGTGTGTACATTAAATAAATATGCGAGCAACCAGGGGCAGTGAACTGTAAAGGACAATGCTGCCCACCACCTTGCAGCTGCCTGAAGACGAAATGCCCGTGCTGAAAGATAAAATCACAATGATCCAGGCACCTGCATGAGGTAGTCGAAGTGCTGAACATGGTCAAAAGACTGCTCCGCTTGATTGGAGATCGACAGGACTGTCTTGACAGTCTCAACAGCATAGTTGCCACGGAGAGTTTCTGCCCCCAGCAGGAAACCATCGACACCATCCAAAACAGCATTGGCGATGTCAGTTGCCTCTGCTCGGGTCGGCCTAAGGGCAGCAAATGCACTCCAACCACTCACCATACTGACATGGGCAGTGCTGCACTGTGCTCTACTGCACTGTACTTGCGCACAACGATTTGCCAAGCTGCACTCACAATCGAACAGGACTATAAACTATGGACAAATAATCAACAATCAGCCTGACAGAATGTGTCTTTGCTGGCGATACAGGGCATGCTGGCTCATCAACATTCTGCAAAGACATTGTCCAGGCAAAATAATGCAATAATGCAGTAATTGTGTCAGAGAGAATCTTCAAACAAACCACAAAAGACAACAAGAAACCAACTCGTATCCGAGATGGCTATAATGCAATTGCGTCACAATGTTTGGCAAAATGACCCCCCCACCCTGCAATTTGACGAAAAGGAAGGAAGCTCCAGTCCTGAAATGGCAACAACGGCAACACAGAGTCCAGCTCTACAGTACTTTAGGAATCATCATTCTGCAGAGGAGCCTGAGGTTTGTATGCGACAATACTGCCCACCAATCCCCCCCCACCCCAGCCCCCACTCCACCCGCCATCCTTCTGCGCTGCTTGCCCCGCTTTGAGATGCCCCCCAGCAGTGGTCCCAAACACCAAGAAGAATCAATGCCATAGGAAAGGGGTAGGGAAAAAAAGCTGAGTTTCACCTGGGTGTTGAAACCATGGTGTCCACCACCCGTGTTACAATAACCGGCTTGCCCAGCAGATTGCACCATGAGATGAGGTTCTTTTGGATGAGTGCCATCTTCTCCGCAGGGCAGTCCATGCCCAGGATGCCTCGGCTCATCATGATGGCATCTGCCTTATTCAGCGTGCCCTTGAAGCTCATCAATGCGACTTTGGTCTCCACCTGCGCCCCCAACGAAGTTGCCATGACCGACCCTGGTTTCCACCTTCCCTCACACAGCTCAGCACGAAAAGTGCCCCACAAGGTTCTTGCTCAGGAGAAGGGTTTGCACAGGTTATCGCCTCGTGTGCTAAAAGACCGGCCACATACAAAGTTCTACCCAGTAGGGTCAGCACCCACCACCATGTTTGCAACTGCAAGCAATGGATACACAATGTAGCAAAAGCCCTGCAGCAGTGCACCATATTGCAATGCTGCCTGTACGCCACATGTGCAGCCCTGCATCAAAGCAAGCACTAGGATTTTTCTCCAGCTGACTGGGCTTCCTTTGCTGGATAAATGCAAAGATCAGCATGGTAGCAAGCACAGCTTATGCTCCAGAAGAATCCAATGCTTTGGAATTGACACACCCGCCACAAACATGCAGGGGTGAACGTCTGATCCCATCAAGAAATGTAGCCACAGAGGACAGAGACATGACACTCTTTGCTGTTGCTAGATGAAGTCTGTTGTCTGACGAAAATGTCTGCACACTTTCTGCAACACTTTCTTGTGTCTGGACGGGGGTGCACATGGACACTTAAACAACATGTGATGCTCTGTTTTGGAACAAGCGACACATACAAGCACACATATTTTGTGGGGCAGGGGTGGGGCAGGGCTGCAGCATTGCCAACACCCCTGCACCAGAGACACACCTGCTGCGCATAGGCCCCTCAGCTACTTCTGCCCCCTGACCAACCCCTGAGCTCTAGGCGTTTGATTTCGCTAGGGACGACCTCAACTCAATTCTATTTTGATTGGGGCAGTGGTCTTCGGGGCTGATCGTGCAATACCCTTTCTGTGATTCTGTGACAAGGAGGTCCATATCGCTTTAATTTTTACAAAGATGTTCACGTTGTGGAGGGTGGTGTTGCCTTTTCTTGATGTGTGGCCATGGGCACTATTTGTTTGCCTTACATTGGCCAGTGGCAAGACAATGTCCGTTGTCGATGCACTTGCAAGCAACAACAGAACACATACACAGAGCTTTGGGGATTTCTGATCTGGCCCCTGGACATCGACTTAGCATACTGCACTTTGGGGCAGCAGGCTCCAAGGTTGCTGTGTGAGCCCAAGGCTCTTCCTGTTCTTCCCCCTTTGTCTAACAGTTTCTCTCTGACATCGCATGACGTGCTTCAGTTGTTCTCAAACAAATACACCACTCACCTTGGCCATAATGCGTGTGTTCGTCATCCCAACCCCATCCAGAAACTTCCGAACCGTGTCCATGTCATCCTTGTCCCGCGTGTATGAAACAGCCACATAGTCGATGTCGAACTTCGAGCCCAGGTGCTTGATGGCAGCCATGTCTGACTCGGACAGGACTTCCATGGTGGTAAGCTTGTTGGAGATGGGGCCGATCTCATTGCGCTCGATGTGGAAGACAGTCAGCAGGCCATCCAGCACGGCATCAGTCAGGGCCTCGCAGACCACGTCGGTGTCCGTCACCTCAACGACCTGAGAAGCGATCACCAGGCAAGGTCACTGAAACAGCGAATAAGCACTTTGGTTGTATATTGAGGGAATACCATTTTGAGATGGCAAGGTCACTGCAAGTCCAAGTCAATAGGATCTGCTTTGTGCCTTACTTGGTGGTGAAGAATGGGATGCGATCACTGCAGTTGGAGAGGGCAAGAGCTAGACAATAGGGGACAAAGAATTCAGGCAGAAGAAACTCAAGCAGAGATTCGGGCTGGAACTCAGAATCGCGAAGCACTGCACCGGATCGGGCAGCAGTCAGCATTCTGTCGATGCTAGACACCCTGGTCCTCAGTTGCCATAGCTTGTGTGGTTTGAAATAAACAGAAACAAGGAAAGTAAACAAAAAGCAAATGGGAAAAGCAAAAGGGAAAACGCATTGCAATGATGGCATCCTGATGCAATAATGTTGGTTTGGAAATGAAATCAAAAGAGAATAGACACTCTATGGTCTCACCTTGAAAAAGAGTGCACCCTCCTCTGCCCCAGTCGTCAAATACCGAGACACGTTTACCAGGTCACCAACCTGGCACTCCAGTGGAAAGGCCTTGTAGTTCAAGGGGAAGACTGTATCCGTGCACGGCACCTCTTTCGATGTGAGCGTGATCTGGTACCCCATACGTACACTTATTAGAGGAGCTGAAAGGTTGACAGCAGAGAACATCCAGAGCCAGTACTGCAAGCCTGTATCCAGAATGCGCCTGTGGCAGATTCTTGTTCTGAACAGAAGTGCCTAGGCATTGAATGAATGAAAAGAAAGGGCAATGCCAGGCAGTGCCTGCACCGACTTGAAACCCTTGTTGACTGGATTTGGCTGGTTTGAAGTCAACTCAACAAGGATCTTATATCCAAAGGCCACGATGGGTGCCTGTCCCACCAATTATACTTTTAGAACTCCATCACACCCAGCAGTACGTGGAGAGCACCGGATCGCATTTTCTGCAAATATCGATCAAATGTGTATGGTGCTGCCACATAGACAGCGTGAGCAACAGTTTTGTTTGGAAAAGACAGCCTTGACATCGACATTTCTAAGTGCTGACAAGTGCAGAAATCGCAAATTGGTGACAGCTCCCAAGCAAAAGCGGGCAACGATATCCAAAGCTGCTGCAATTGTGCTGGACAGTTGAACAGGCATTTTGCACCTGCAAACTGTACACACATCGTTCTTTTCTCCAACGAGATCCTGAGCTGGCAGCTTCCCAACACCCCCTTATTTCTGGTGCGATGATTTATTGATCAAGTGCCCAAATGCAATCCAACAATAAAATGGGGTGACTCCATTGGGCAAACGTTGGACGCCATGGCACACGGCACATGTACAGGCACGCCACATTCGTCATGATCGTCCTTGCCCATCTGAATGTGGATGATAAAGCGGCATCCGCTCCGGCTGAACCAATCGACATGTTGTCGCACAGACCCCCTGGCCAGGAGGTCAAAGCGGACCACCGGACCGGGCCCCGCATAGGCGTCCCCGGCGACGCCCGCCCGGCCCAAAGCGGCGGACCAAACGATTCGCGCCCCTTGCGCCCATCGGCACACGTGGCCGCGCACCTTCTGCCCCGTGCGGACGGTGATGGGGTGGTCGTGGTACGGCCAGCCCGCGTCGTCGATCTTGAACGGCCGCTTTACGAAGATCTCGCGGCCCAGGGTGTCCAGCACCACTGAGCACAGCCGCCGCGCGTCCTTCATGGCCGTCATCAGGTTGCGCAGCGACTTGTCATGAAACTCCACGGGGCCCCACTGCGGGCAGCGGTACCACGGGGCCGGTTAGACGCGGGGGATTGAACCCGGATACACGCCGACGGCGCGGAAAGCGCAATGGAAATCGGATGGATGTCCGCAGAGCGCGGCAATCTTTCCTCCAGGGGAAGGTGGGAAGAATCGGGCAAATCCGGGCCGGCCGCCGGGCGTTTGAACCGCGAGATTGCGGCCCCGAGGTGGGCGAAAGACCCCCCTCCTCTCGGCGGGGCATCCACCCCGCATGGGAGGCACTCCGGACGGGGACCTACCCCGGCGCACTGCCTCACCGTGAGATCGATGCGCGCGGACGTGGCACCCGCGAGCAGCAGCTCCGTCATCTTGGCGACATCTTGACATGCCGGCCCCACGGTGAAGGTCACTGCGCCGAGGTCAGCGGGGGAGGGCGTCAGCGCGCCTCGACAGGGCCACAGCGGCGTGCCTCAACGCCGCCGGCGCCGAAGTGGGAATGCCAGGCGAAATCCGATCCCTGATCCGGAGCCAGCTGACGGTATTCCCCAGACCGCCGCCCGTAGTGGGCGCCCCAACCTCGCCTCGCCCAAGACGCCCAACAACGACATCAACGGCCTGTAGCCACACCGCCCCCCCCCAACCCCCGTCCCCACCCACCCTTGGTCCCCGTGAAGCTCTTCTTCTTCAGGTCGGCGGGCTTGAGGATCGCGATGGGGTCGTAGTCATCGAAGAAGTGCGTCCGGGAGTGCATGTACCGGGCCGGCATCTCGACCGGGCTGGGGCGCCTTGGGGCGCACGACGGGATCGCTGGCTGGGATGCCGGCTGCCTCGCCGATCGGCACAGGTCTGAGAGTGGCAACCCCGGCGGGCCTCGCGCGAGGGGCTGCGGGCTGGCTGGGGCGGGGCAGGGGTCAAGGGGGCGGGTTGGGAGCCGGTCGGGGGGTTTTGAGCCCCCCGAGGGTGGTGGTGGCCGAAAGTGCGTGCTGACAGGCCTGGCGGTGCGTGCGCCGGGAGCGACGTGCGCCGCAGAATGGGGGGCGCGCCCGCATGCTTTTGGCAGGCCGAATGCTGACGCAAGCGCGGGGCGCTGCCAAAGGTGGGGCCTGGGGTGGATAATGGCAAGGGCATATTCGATCATCCCGAGGCGCTCTCCATTGAGCGGTGGTCGTTGGTCCAATGGCCGGGAGGTCGCAAGTACGGAGGGTGCTGCGGGCGCGGGCAGTGGGCTCTCCATGAGCGCGGAGACGTGACAAGAGACGTCGTGACTGGGACTCACTGAGTACAGTGGGGGTTATGAAATTAACTATCCTGTTAATGGGTTTCTGCCAAGGATGACGAGGGGTGGGCTGCACCGGTTACTCAAACCGTGCAGTTGGAACCTGGGGTTTACTTAGAACCCCGTACCTTGGGATTTCTGGCCACCCCAAGTACCGTGGGTCGGTCAAAGTACGAAAATACGAGGTGCCGCCGGCGATGGCGCCCTCGAGTTTAGCGGGCTTTGGCGGGGCGGTGAGGGGCGGCTATTTAGGCAGTCCCTCGGTCCCCCTCCTTATCTTGTTTCATTTCGCGCCACTGCATTGGCACAACCCGAAGGCACCGAGTACCTTGTCTTCTCCGGCTACGGCCGAGTTCTTTTTATAAACCGCTTTCCGGCCGAGCAGTGGTTGCACAACCAAGCGGTTCGGTTCAACAACAATCCACCTATGGCTTCTATCGATGAGGTCTGGCTGTCCGCCCCCCGGTTCCTCCCGCAAGCGGTGACTAACCCTGTTGTCCGACCTCTGGGTATACGCTTCCCCAAGTGGTTCGACGTCTAGTGAACCTCCAAAGGCATGCAACTCGCACAGGCCCTCGGCGCCAACTCCGGCTACTTCCAGGAGTACTAGAACTAGGCCCCCTACGTTGCGTGGCAGTTCGACCTGGCTGCAGCGCTAATCGACTTCGTGGCGCACCCGGATTTTCCGACAGCCTTCCGGGTGGCCCTCATACTGTACGTCCACGCCCAAGTAACCATCACGTCACGCCTTCAGAGCCTTATTCGCCTCCAACAAGTCCACGGCGAGTAGAAGGGCACCTCCCTCGATGGATTGTGGAAGGCGCTCCAGACCAATGTTCGCTTGGGCATGGTGCATCGCCGGTCCTGGGACCTATTGATCGACGAGCCCCTCGAGCACATCCGCAAGGAGGTCCTCAATCAACAGCTCAAGTTGGCGACGAAGTCCGTGGTGGCTCAACATCAAGTGCAGCTCAACCGCTACCCTCCCGCTACCCTGCCCCCCGGTGGTCCCTTCTCCGGTGCCAAGCATCTGCGCACCAAGGCCAAGACGTCCAGCGCTCTGCCAGTGCCCCCCAAGCCAACCGCCTAAAGGCCCTGCCCTATGCCCACCTTCAAGGCTGACTTACTGCCTGGCGAAGCATCGACGCCCCCTCCCATATTCTTCAATGGATCCATATGGGGGCACCTCTGAAAGGTGGGATGTCCCCGAATAGGGACGGACTAGGAACGGGGACGGGAATGGGAACGGGGACGGACCAGAGTCTGTTGCCATCCTTGGGCCAGTAGGCCCAGGAACAGCCAAGGAACAGCCCGTCCCTAGGCTGGAATGGACTTGGGACGGATCTGGAATGGTGTGCAGCTGTCCCAATTCCGTTCCGGCACAGTACAACCTACCTAGAAGTCCGTTCCTGTACTACCCATGGCATTCCAGAGTCCGTTCCAGGCTGGTCCAGAATCTGTTCCAGGCCGGTCCAGAGTCCGTTCTAGGCCATTCTGAAGGCCATTCCAGACCATCCTAGAACCCTTTGCAGAGTCCATCTTGCAGTACATAGCAATATCAAATTCATGTGTATACCAATAAGAATGCAGCGATTAGATTTGATGTGTGAGCCATGCGCCCCACGGTCCATAAACATGGTGTGCCTGCCCCCTTGCTGTGAATTTTGCACTTGTTGCAATGGGTGGCAAGACCAAGCAGATGCAGCGGCGGCGGCTTGTGAGGGCTGGGGAGTCCCGCCCCCTGGCCCGACGTCGCCAAGGCGGCACCCCACAATGTGAGGCAGGGGATGCCTGGGGCCAAACATGTCTGTATAGAGGGGGGCCCGGAAAGACGCCCCCCCTCCCCCAAAAAAAAGTGAGGGATCCGGGCATGCGGGGACGGCGGTGGTAGTGGCAGGGGGAGCCACATTCCCCTCTACGGTGGTTTGGCGTCTGCGTGGTGATTCCCTTTTTGCCGCCCACCACATGCACCTTGTCTATGCCAATTGTGCACCATCACTTTGCACCTCAAGCAATTAATATCTTTAGCTTCTCCCATTGTTGTGTGAACAATGCCTTTGGTTCTTTATTCGAGCGGAGTGAGATGCGACGCAAAGGCGCGCGGACCAATTATCCGCGCCTTCGCGGAGCATCGAGCGCAGCGAGGCGATTTGGAGATTTTGGCCATTTTCGGGCCATATCGCTGCATTGGAAAAAGGGCTTTGGGGACGGTCTGGGTGCTTGTGGGGACGGTGGTTAAAGTACAGGGTGACTTGAGGGTTATGTAACCGTGCTGTGTGCCGCGGGGACAAGACGCTGGGAACCCTGTAACAAACATCCCGTTTTGCTGTCACTGCCTGCCTGCGACCCGCGCGCAAGGCAACGCCGGACCCAATCCACCCTTCCGACTGACGCACCGCAGCGGCCGTTCCGCCAAGGGGCCCACCACGTCCGCGCCGCGTCGAGATCAATCGAGCGACCGTGCCGATTACGCCTGGCCGACCGCCGGAGGGATCGACGATCCATCGCACGGGGCGCGCGCGGAAAAACCACGTGCCAGGCATCCTCGCTGCTGCAAATGCCACCCTGCAAAGCAGTACTGAGGTGTCAACTAGCAACCGACAGTGTGAAACTCGATCGAGCTCCACTTAATCAATTCAATGTCCCATCTTACGTTGACTCGGCTTAAAGTCGCGTAGACTTGAGTGTGCCCATCTTAGAGTCGTATAATCCGCTTGGAGAAAGAATGCTCTTACAATGTTTGAGGTTTACAAGATTTGGAAATGGTAGATGCAAGTGCTGAGTCAAAAAGACTAAGCCCTTTATATAGTCTCGAAGGGCTTGTTCCGGAAATATCTTGATATTATAAGCAACATGCCTAGTAATCTATCATAGAACCATCTCAAATATATTCTAGAGATCTGGCGGCTATTCTGTATAGTAGTTTATGTACTATATTAGTCTATCGTCCAGAATCTTCTAGTAAATGGCATAACTTCGTTATGCCTTCCCTCTCAAGGGGATGATGGGTCTTTTCATTCTCTTGAGAATGTTCTAGACTTTTTCATGAGACATGGTGCGTCCTTATGATAGATTACATTAGTTTGGCGGTACAACAAGTCTATTTCTGTCCTATAATCAAACCCAATTTCATTCCCGTGTCTCAAATCAAGTCTAATGTACCTTATTATACAAAATCATCCATATCTTCCTCAATACTTGTCCGTTTGAGCTGATTCTGTTTTTAAGTTAAGTCTATTTTCTGTTCATTTAACTATTCTAGCATCATCTAATTTCACAACTATCCCCTCCTTCGAAAATCGACGTCCCTGTCGATCGGGTCAATTATGCTATGTGTATGTTTAAAAGCTTCTCATTTTCTTGGTTGTAGTCCTTATCTTCTCTTTGATGATAAATTTTGATTGGCTCGTGTAGATGTTGCACTTCCTCTTGTAGTTGTTTCTGTTTTCTTGGATACATCATTATGTCTTCTTCCATGTCATCTTCTTGCAAAAATTCATTGATTAAAGTTTGGCTTCCTTGAAGATGATCCTCTAGTTCCCATGTAGCGTCATAGTACTGATAGCCTTTTCAATGGACTAAGTACTGCCGCTTTCCATGGAATATTCTGGTGTCCAGAATTCTCTGTATTTCATATATGTCTTCACTTGACCTAACTGCTCTTTGATGTGTCGCACGCTGTGTTGTACGCACTCGAGATCCACTATGCCAAGCCTTGAGTCGTGACACCTGGAATACTGGATGTGCGGACCAAGTATTAGGCAATCTCAATACATAGGCTGTTTTCGATATCTTTCTTTGTACTGTAAAAGGTCCAACAAACTCTTGTTGGAACTTTGGATCTGGTTGTATTCCTGGCCCTGTAAGAAATGCCCTTTTTCCTTTTCCTGTCGACAACATCACTTTGTCGCCTTCATTGAATTCTGCTTGTCTTCGATGCTGATCCGCATATTCTTTCTGTCGCTGTTGTGCTTCTTCTAGACTTCGCATTGCATCCTCAAAATCATCTTCCAGCTGCTTCACCCAGTCTTTTGCAGACTGATTTCTTTCCTCTTTGGCTCCGGTAATGATGTCCAAACGGAATCTGGGTTGTAGCCATAATTGAGATGAAACGGCGAATATCCTGTCGATATATTGACAGAATTATTTATAGCATGTTTAGCTGCTGGTAAACGCCTATCCCAATCTTCTGATTTGAAGATAGTATATGTCCTCATAATCTCTTCTACTACATCATTCATCTTTTCTGATTGACCATCAGTTTGAGGATGATATGCTGTAGAGAACCGCAGTTTGGTGCCAACAAGTTTCATCAAACTACGCCAGAAAATGCTCACAAATCGTGAGTCTCGATCGGATACGATACTCCTTGGTATGCCATGCATTTTCCAGACATGGTCTTTGAATAATTCAGCCACCTCTAGGGCTGAAACATCAGTTTTTGTGGCGATAAAATGAGTCATTTTAGTCGCCCTGTCGACCACTGCCAT